AAAAAAAAAAAAAAAAAAAAAAAAAAAAAAACACATCATAGTAAAACCAATACCTTCTCAGCTTCGCATCGAAGCTAAAATTTAAAAAATAAAATCGAGAATTTTCACATAAAAATAGCATTTGATAGCCATTTTCACTGTGAAGACAAAATAAAGTCCAAAAATTTTTTTTTCCATAGTAAAGTACATGACATTAGCTTTATTTAAAGATATATATAAAAGTGTCAGACTTTCCGGAAAACTTTCAAAAGTTAAGTTGAAAAAGTTAATTTTTTGTGAAAAAGTAGTTATTTTAAATCCCTCCTGTGGACAGGTAAAGGGTCGAATTTATAAAAAAAATATACCAAATGATAGGTAAAGACATCAAGCATCTATAAAAAAAAAAAAGTTATATTGATTCGGTCAATATAACTGGATTTAAAAAGTTATATTTGAAAACCCCATAACGTTATATTTTATTTACACCTGTTAAGCTATTCAGGACGAGAGTAAGAGTAGTTGCTCCTTAGACCGTTATGATTAGGATTATCTGGTTTTTAAAAAAAATTTTCTACTTTTTTCATTCATGATTAATTGTTATCTGAAAATTAAAAATATGATTGGGAGGGTAAAGTTAAAATATAATATTGGTCAAATTATAAGTTTGTTTTAATAAAATGTATAATATTATTGAGGCACACGCTTATACAATCAGGCTTTATATATAGGCAACTTAATCGACAACAAAATAAAAGGTTATGTCCAAAAGAAAAAAATGTAAAACAATACCAGGAATTCAGGAGGTGAATGTTACATTTTTGTTATACAGCGATAGAATATGATGACATTTTTGAAAGTATGGGTACCAGGGTTTCAGGAGATTAATACTAAATTTTCATTTTACATTTTGATGTTAACCTTTTAATGAATTTATGGTGAATTTTATGGCAATATGGTACTAGGATTTCAGGAGGCAGCAACTATTTTAAAGACGTCTGCAATGGTGTGGCACTAACCGTCATGCCGATAGGTGTTTAGCTGGTGCCTACTTTAATTATTCACTATATTTAAGTTTGTGCCTATACAATATATTGTAATGTGTATCTATGAGTGTTATGGTTAAATTTCACGTTACTAACCGCCAATCGGCTTTTCATAAATTGCATTTTGTGTAAAATGTAGTTTATACCCCAATAGTATTATAATATTAGATATATCTATATCATTTAAAACCAAATTGAATTTAACGTTTTTTCGTGTACTATACGATTAAAAAAGAAAGGCGTTCTGACTACTTGTCTTATAGGAGTTATCGACCACTAAAATGAAAAGTCATAAATTTCAGTAAATTATAGATTGTACGGTGACTGGTCCTCTATCAGTAGTTTACCTAGAGTCAAAAATCATGTAGTTTTTGTAAATATAATTTTTTTTTAATTTGTTTAAAAAGTAAACAGTAATTAATAATTTTTCAATCAACTATAAATTGAAAATTAATAAATATACATTAATGTCTAATTAGAAAATAATATTTAAATATTGAGTTTTCGCAATAATTTACAATATAACAAACTTAAAAAAAGTGATTTTTTAAAGTTAATTTTATGTTGGTTTCGGTAAAATACCAAATTGAAATTTTGAAAAATTTGTGAAATTTTTATGATTTAATTTTCTGTCCCACTCGAGAAAAACTTAGTTAAAGTTGCCTAAAAATCGTTATTTTAAAAATTTGAATTTTTTTATACTTGTATTACTAAAAAAAAGTCTAAAGTAAAAAACTTCAAAACTCAATTAAATTATAATACTGAATAAAATTTTATTATAAAATTCTATTTCATCGTTAATTTTAGTTTTGAAAATGTTGTTTATTTACATAAAAAATAAACCTTAAACAAAATTACTTAAAAAATAAATTAAAAATTAAGTTACTGTTTCGGCATAGAAGACTCAATTTTGTTGGTAATATCTTTAATTTGTAATTTTTCACATATTAATAAGCAAAATCGATCTAGTCAGAACTGAAAAAAAGTGGCGATAATCACATATAAATATACACATTATACAATATACAATAGCTAATTAGCTTCACAGCAAAACTAAAAATAAATAAATGAATGCACGTTATAGAAAAACGATTTCATATTGCGTTGTTGATAAAATATATTAAAATGAGAAAATTTTATATCGTCATAACATTATGGATTTTGTTTACATGTTTACATGTTTTTATGTAATACATTTTAATTAGTTATTCACAATGTACTGCCTTCCTAGTAAAGGACGTATATGCTAAAAATTGAATAATTATTTTATTGCATTAGAATAATGAGAATTTAATGACGCATGTTTAGAGCTAAGTATATTTGTCGTGTTCAGCTTAGAAGTCGAGCTATTAAGGATTTGATTTATAAATATTTCGTACAAATAGGCCTAACATAAAAAAAAAAAAGATGTATGACGCTTGCATTAAGTAAAAAAGTAGTAACTCTCCACAAATACGTTCATTTTGTTTAGTACAATTCAATATTCGTCTTTTTTGTTTAGTTACATTGGGTTGTTTAAGGGGTTACAACAAAATTATCATCCATTAATTCTCTAATAATAAATATTGATGAGCATCTAGGTAGGTTTAAAAATAAACAGCACAGCTGTATCAATGTTTTGTTTAAAATCCTCAAATACTAAGCATTTTTGACGTATCTGTACATACTGCTTTCTTTTTAAACAATAAATGATTTAGACTAAAGATACCACTGAGAAAAAAATATGTAAATGGGATTTTGGTTGAAAGAGACGTCCTACACCTTTTACATTTATATTATTAGATTCTACATTAAAAAATATACTATTAGTGACTAGATGATCAATTTTATAAATAATAGCAAAAACATTAACGAATACAGAAAATTTAATAATGTCAAAATATTCGAAGTGGCGTATACGTGTTTACTAGGACGGTAGTATAATCTTAATATATTATAAAAATAAACACAGAATGAGAAATTTAAATCAAGCTCCGTTTTTTAACTTTAATTTGATATGATAGGTAGCGTAATTTACTTCTTTGTTAAAGGTTAAAGCGGCACCTAGCGGTTATTTATTGCAATAATATCACTAGGCGACCGTTCCCGCTTTTAAACTACAGATCAACTCAACAGTTAGTTGTTTACTATCGAGTTTAAGTTGTTTGCCAGGCGACCGGTTCTGTTGTTTGTGTATTACTCGTTTCATTTAAGAATTTTTTCTGTTATAGTTTTAACATTATTTTTATTTGTGAATATACAAATTTTTTAGTCAATATCACTCAAAATGGGTTTTGGAACGTCCACCATAAAGTATATACTATTTTTCATCAATTTTGTATTTGCGGTAAGTAAATTATTCTAAATATTGTATTATATTATTATTGTTCAATTTGTTTTTAATTAATTGTATTGGATTTTTTTTTTCAATTATTTTGTGTAATTTAGTTTTTAGTACCAACTCAAAAATTAATGGTTTTATAACAAAATAAATAAATTTCTATGATACAATAATTTTACATTTATAGAATGTTAATGTGTTAGGATTAAGAGAATTTCCAATATTAGACATGAATTTCAAGTATTTATAGATTTAACGGAGATTAATAAGCTCTGTGTAAAAACAGATATCTCCATTTTAAAACATTTTTAGTACTTTAAAAAATGTATATATAACAGAAAAATTTTAATTTTATAATGATAGTAAGATTTTTCTTGATAGATGTTTTTGTAATTTTTATCTTAAGAGCCGTTAAAATCTGATTAAAAAAAATGAAGTTATCTGGTTTTTGTACAGCACTTTGAATTAAGTGTTGCTACTTATTAATAAAATATATTAATAACAACACTGCTTACACATTACATTATATTTCATATCTCATTTATTAATATATTTAGGAAAATTAATGAATTAGCAAATTTAACTATTTACTTTTTCTGTTTGCTTATGATAATTATTCGTTTTACTGGCACGTTTCAAACGAATAACTCATAAACATTCACAAAGGGTTTCATTCGAGTAACCCTTTAGTATTTCAAGGGTTATTACGATACACCGTTATTTATGTAAAGGACCGATAAACAGAAAACATGCAGAGTTGAATTAGGTTGCATTTTAGATAAGTTTTAAAAAATCAATGATAAAATACTTAAATTATCGTACATTAACATAAAGATGTATACACGCAATATAATTCGTAAAAATATTAAATATTTATATACCTACGAGACAAGAGGCGTTCGGTCAGTAAATGTCCAACGATAAAAATAATAAAACCCGCACCTCACCTACAGCCTTTACTTAAACTTTTTAATTATATTCGAAATACTGGTCCAATAATTGTTTTCGATCAGCCATTTTTTTAATTAGGTTATTGTCTAATAAATAAGTTAGTTAATATATATGTTGTCATTTGAAAAAATTAAAGTTGACTCCCCTATATGTATAAGAGATGAACATGTAAATTACTACATGATTGATAAATTAATAAAAAAAAAAAAAGACACCTAAGAGAAACCAAAAAAAAAAGTTTTTAATATTATATTTAATTTTTGATTTATTAAGTGACCAATGATATAAAAATTCATTGGTATATTTATTTAATTATTTCTTAAACCTTGTTGTCAAAAATTTATTCAATCCAATCAAACTATCTAATGCTAAAGATTTTTCCAAGTAGACATCTAATTAGGATTTTTAGATTTCAAAGCAACAACAAATTTATTACCTTATTTTTATATTACAAATAATAATAATACACGTATGAAGTGAGTTCAAAGGTATGTTTTGAGATAAACAACTTACATTGTGTGTGACTTTATTTTGAACATTAATATTTAAGTTCCAAACATTTTTTTAATAGTAAATTTTATGCAATTAAATAAAAAAAAAATTATAATATTTTAAAATATTTTTTAGTTTAAAATTAATATTTTAAATATATATTTATATTTAAATAATATTAGCCACAACTGAACAATTCTTATTATATTACTAGAATCTTTTAAATTTTACGAATTCATATATAAAGGTCAACATTAATTTGTTTATTAAATATTTCATCATAGAAAATAAACATTTTAAAAGCACTAAAATACTATTAAGTTATAATCTTAAAACAGATTTATTCCAAATATTTTTTATTTTATCTAAAAAAATAATTAGATCTGTACAAATTATTAAAAATGACTGTTTTTGACGATTTATTAAATATATTTAAGAATATGTTTTAAAGCCGAGATATGCAAAAATATAAAAATTTTAACACACGAACGGAGTTGTAAAATAAATTTTGACCAGACAAATAATTTTTTTTGAATTGACAAAAAAAACTTTATTTATAAACATATAATATAATGACTACTATGACTTAACCTCTATTACTATATTTTTTTTATTGTATACCGATATTAATTATTATTGATTGTGGAATATTAATGTAAATTATTTATGTTTTTAATAATTGTAAAATAAATTTGAATATAAAGGACTAATTTTTTTTTATTAAATACTATTAATTAGTTGTATGTTCTATGACTTTTTGATATACTTAGAAATTATAAAACCTAAGCCATACAACTCGTGTATATACTATGTATATTGAGGATGTATACATGTATGAGGTGTTTTAAAATAATTTTTAAGTTAAAAATAACTTTAAAGTAGTTTTAAACTTCAAGTTTTAGATTGAATGAATTCCTATAGATTACTGTCTGAAAAATCCATTAAACGTAGTTTCTTAAATAAATTTCTTATTTGTTATTTTGTTTTGTGTTTCGTGATTTTTGATATAGATTGAAAAATTTCTCTCGAGCTACAATAATTTCTAATATATTGTAAGATGTCACCTACTATGTGATCAATTTTTTTTTGTGTCCTTAAAGGTAATTAGTGGAGTAGAAAAACTTCGTGAGTGACCACTAACATTTCTAGGTTCTTCCTTTGAAATATAATAAAATTTTAATAATTGTAAAATAATAATTTTTCAAATATCTATTGATAATTTTGTGTCTTATTTATATTCTTAAAAGCGTTCTTTTACAAATGAACATTTTTTAAAGTGTCCACTCGAAAGTGCCTTCAGTAATGATTTACTTAATCACTGTGTTTTTGTTGTATCACTCGATGATACATACCGGCATCATAAAAATGAATTATTCATGTTTATTTATTGATATGAATAATCATCAAAAATATGAGTTAACAGTTTACTTTTGTAATCAGTTTAGGTGATAATTTTAACTGTTTAAAAATTTATGAGATTAGCGTTGTATTTTTTGTATATACACATCATTTTAGCAGTTAAGTAGTTGTTTTTCAACCACCGCTATCAAAGCGTTGCACAATCATTTCGAGTACTTCTTTTTTTATTTTTATTTCATTTGTTTATAAACGACTGATCCCCACGCATAATGAAAATGGGTCCTGTGAAAGAATTTTTGTAAGGTATGATGCGACGAGGTAACCGGCCTACGCCGATGATGCACAAAGAGTATTAAATAATATGGCCGTGCACGTGAATATATAATAATAAACTAAGCGACTATGCGGTTATATAGCTATATGAACTAAACTCAGATGAGACGCAGACAATATTAAAATATGAATATTCAGCCGAGAAAATGTAAGTCCATTGAATGAGTCGTGCCCGCAATTGCCGTTTCCGGCAATGCCCTTCAAAGAGTTCCCAAAATTGCCTGAGTGCTCCACTTTTGTTATACACGGTTTAGAGGAATGGAGGATGCCTGTAGTGTTATCCGTTAGATTATTTTCTTCTGATTGTCTTTAATAGCTCTATAAAACATTAGTAATCAATCAAGAATCGGCGTTAAATGTATATTGAATTCTTATCATTAAAGTACTTTTGAAGATAATGTTGAAAAGTTGAATGCAATTATCAATTAAAAGATTTCTTTAATAAATAATTCTTTAACCAGTGAAAATGTATGACTTTATACTTGAATTTGTTAATAGATTAATTGTGTATTTAAATTGTTTGCTATAAATTTTGTAATATTATGTTGCCGTTATAATATTAATTGCTATTTTCAATGAGAAATTTAACAACTTAGAAGAGATCATCATATTATTGTTGTCTCTCCATTGTAAGTGATTCAATCACTTTCGTTTAGAACCTGTGCTTGACATTTCACCGTAAGAACCTAAGCACCGATTAATTGATACGTTTTAAATGTATATTACATTACTTCCATAAAATAGACATTAAATATCGTTTCACTCTACTTGCACAAAGTATTCAATATTTATAATGCACGTTTATATCATTTAATTTTCTTGAGTAGTATCGTCGTGTTCAATGGCAATATTTTTTCTGTCTTGTAATATATTACCAGTAGATTTCGATTCATCTGCTTTTCTCGACAGCGTTCAACCGTTCTAATTATTCGATTCTGCCTATAAGAGACTTTCGAAAACCAGTTTTCAGTCTTCGTGATAGTCTCCCTTCCAAAATGGCATGTAAACTTGAACAACTTTCTTCATTGCCATATTGTTGAAATATAATTGACGTTTTAATTCAAAATCTTTACTTAACTATTAAATTTTCATCGTTATTTGATTTTACTGTGAAAATTGCAACAGTAAAATCTAAAATTTCCTTAGATATTATTTCACTGTTTATATAATTGGCTTGTCGACTTTATCTGCTGGAACCGATCGTTTCTGTCGTTTCGCGATTTCCTAGCAACCCGAAACTTATTTACAAGCGTTAAATTGTTACATGCTGGTTCCGTAATTGTTATTATTTTTTTCGTTTCTTTTTTACACGATGAAACGTTTTCCTTGTTTTCATATTGTCGTAGACAGGGTACAATGATGTCTGCCTGGCCTAGTAGGGTGTTATATCCTTATACTTACTTAGGGCAGATGCGGATGCAGTAATAGAACATCTGTTCATAGCTTAAAAATAACGAATGAATTTGACAGTTACAAAATATATGCAATATATATTTTATTTTTGATCAATTTTGAAACATTCATTTCTGATAAAAATCATCCCCACACAAACAAACATTTTACATTAAATTTTCTATTTAACTTCAACTATGCTTTAATAGTAATGTTAAGTTTATCTACATATCACCAATAACTGTTTAGTTTAAATTAAATTATTTTATTGCATATTACTAAGTAACGACAATATGTTTTGAAAACATTACATTTGTTTTATCTTACTTCTTTTCATTATCGACGTGGTTTTAAAATTATTTTTTTAAATTATATATAATTTTAAATTCGATATTCAAATTTTTATTTCAGTCTATAATTTGTGAATACAATTAGAAATTAATTATTTTTTGAATAAAGATTGTATTTTACAGAATTGT